GCCCAGGGCATAGAGCGCGGGGCCACAGCCCAGCTGCCTGCACGCCACCTCGGCATCCCGCATGTCCCAGGCATTGTCACACAGCGTCCCCCAGGGTTGCCGCGGTGCCAGATCTCCACTCTTCCCGAGCAGCCGTCCTTGCCTCCCACGGCACGGATCTTCTCCCTTTCTGGGGAGGCAGAAATGTCCCATGGCACCAGGACAGCTGGGACAGCCCTGCCAGTGAGGGGGGCACGCGTAGGGGCAGCTCCCTACCTGTGGCAGCTGGTGGAGTTGGGGCATGCAGCCACCTGCGGCCTTTCTGTCCATGTCCCAAAGGAAAGAGAAGTTGGGCTGAAAAGGGCTGCTCTAGGGGTCATGCAGAAGAAAGCAGGGCTGACCTCTGCTCACACGTCCCCATGCTCCCTGGGTCAGGGCAGCAGCAGAACCCTGTTCACTCAGGGGACACACACGGTACTGCAGGGGGGACCCAAGTGCTCGGCCCCACAAGGTCCCTGATTCACAGAGCAGCAGGAGGCTGTCCCTGGAGGGAGGACTCCTGAAAGCCCTGCATGGTCTCCTCTGAGACTTACGTGGAGATGCCTCTGCATCCCCCAGGGGCTGAGGGCAGCCCACATGTTGACTGCTGCTGGTGGACATGGTGGCCTCCAAGGGCTGAAATCACCTTTGTGTACCAGTAGCAACAGGGTCTAAAGCAGGAAAGTCAAGCCCCTCTTGGTTTCCTTCTCTGCATTTCACCATACCCAGTGAGAAAGTGGACCTGGTAGCTTGATGGCTCAGATTTACCATTGCAGGTGATATTGGTCTCTTCTCGGCGGTCAGTACACGACTGCGGATCCCAGGGATCAGAGGGACACTGCCAGAAGGAGCTGTTGCTCTTCCCACACTCCACGCGATCCAGCCACGCGGTGCCAGACAGCTTCTCATAATTTAAGATTGTTTCCAGTTCCCCCTCATTCCCACAGCCCAGCTCCTTGCACACCAGTGACACCGTCTCGGTGGTCATGGAGTTGGAGCAAACGCTGCCCCACGTCCCGTTGTAGAAAAACCTGCAGGCGCCCGGAGCAGCCGTCGCTGTTCTCCAGCCTCAGGGCCATGAACTCTGGAAGGAGGAAAGGGCCCCAGGGAAGTCCTTGGATGTCAGCCACTTATGGCCTTGGCCCTACCTGGCTCTGCCCACGCCCCCGGCCTCACCGGACCCAGCTCCCAGCCCCCACTCCCAGCACAGACCTGAACAGATGACTCCCACGTCCTCCTTGTGCCCGCAGTCGTGCTGCCCCCAGGCCTCGGCAGGGCAGTCCCAGAGAGCAGCTTCGGCCCCGGAGCAGTTGATGCCATCCAGCCAGATCTGCCCGGAGCCCTCCCCAAACCGAGCAGAGCCAGCTGCCTCCAGGGCCCCTCCGCAGCCCAGCTGGTGGCAAACGACAGCGGCATCGGCCAGGTCCAGGTGTCGTCGCAGACGGTGCCCCAGCGCCCCCTGGTAGTAGATCTCCACTCTCCCGGCACAGCGCCCAGCCCCGTCCACCAGCCGCACCCGCCGGCTCCCTGCAGCGGGGAGAACCCCGGCTGTCAGGGGCTGGCTGCACTCCCAGACCCACACCTGAGGGACGGGCAGCACCACTCACCCTGGCACACGACCCCCACATCCTCCATGATCCCTTCTGTTGGCATGCTCTGAGGCAGGGAGGTGTTGCAGAGGCTCAGGTCAGCCTCGTGCCCTGCACACCACACCCCATGCAGCCCCACAGGTCCTCGTCCTCGCTTGGCCCTCACGGGGGTGTAGGCTGCCTCTGCCTCTCCGCACTGCAGCTGCCGGCACACCACGCTGGCCTCCTGCATGTCCCACTGCTCATCCAGGACTCTGCCCCACGTCCCGTGCTGGAAGACCTCCACGCGCCCGTCGCACCGGCTCCCTCCACCCACCAGCCGTACAGACATGTGGCGAGCCGGGCCTGGTGAGAGCAGAAATTCAGCCTGGTGCTGCCGTGGGGTCCCCAGCTGTGGGTGGCCGTGTCACACACCAGGGACAAATGGACTTTGCAGCACGGCCCAGCACTCACCTGAGCAAATGACAGCAGCAGCGTTCTCCTGGGAGCACGGCGAGGCCCCCAGGGCAGTCACCGGGCACTGCCCCAGGTGGGCTTCAGTCCCGTCACAGTGGAACGAGTCTCTCCAGACGGGGCCGGTTCCTCTCCCAAAATGCCCTCCTCCAGGAATGGACTCAGCAAAGCCACAGCCGAGGTGCCGACAGAGAACGTGGGCGTCCGAGAGGTCCCAGCGGGAGGCACAGAGCGTCCCCCACGTCCCCAGCACCTCCACCTCCACCCTGCCCTCACACGCTGTGCTGCCGTTCACCAGCCTGAACCCTGTGTACTCAAGGACAAAGGAGGGTGAGAGAGGCCACATTTGTGCTCTTGTTCCCACAGGAGCTGCAGGAGAGGCCAAAGGGACAACGTGCCTTTCTCCTCCTGCAGCACTCTAATTTTAGGGATGCAGACCACCACCTCACCCCACCTGTCCCCCACACAGCACAGCCCAGGGCCCACCCTGCCCCCAACCAAAACCCCAGAGGATACCATCCCTACCCAATTCCTTACGTGTGCAAATCACATGAGTGCCATTGCTGTGGGTGCAGGCCTTGTCCTTGGAGGTCCCCCAGGGGCAGAAGAGGATGGTGGATTCATTCCCCACACACTGCAGCTCTCTGTCCCAGACAGGACCGGCCCCTTCTCCCACGTGAGCTGCCCCATGGACAGACAGGGCTGTGCCACACTGCAGCTCCCTGCACACCACCTCGGCAGCTTTGGCACCAAAGTGGGAGTGACAGACAGCTTTCCACTGGTCCCTGTCGTAGACCTCCAGACTTCCTGAGCAAGGGCTGTCCCCTCCGACCAGCCGCACAAATCCTGGAGCAACCAAGGAGACCTGTGAGTTCCCAGAGCCCTCTGGCACTTCCGTGCCCACCTCCCACCTCATCGGTAATGTGGCCAGACTCAGAGCTCCACGGTCAGCCCAGCAGCTCTCCGTGGTTGCTGATGGCACAAAGGGGTCAGGGCCCCCCTGCTGCTCCTCTGAATCCAGCCCAGTACCCATGGGCTGCCCTCTCTCCCATCCCCCAGCCACAGGCACCACTCAGACTAATTGCTGCTGGTTGGAGCCCCTGGGCTGCCCAGCACCGGCCCCAGCACTGCAGCACTCACAGCATGTGGACCCATGGAAATGGGCCCAGGCACTGGGGGCTGCTGCAGTTGTCTCTGCCCTGCCGGGCTCAGGCCAGGCTGAGGAACCACTTGGAGCTTCCAAAAAAGTCCCCTGTCCCCAGGGGCTGCTGGAGCTCTTGGGGAGGTGCTGTTAGAATGGGGCACATCTGGGGAGAAGGTAAAGGGGGGGGTCCTCAGACAGGGACAAAGTGTGGTGCTGGGCATAGATGACCCCATCCACCAGCCACACATAGAGCAAAAGAGCAGGCAGAGAGCAACCCTGGGCTGACACGAGCTCCCGGTATGAGGGCAGGCACCGAGGAGAGCCAGGAGGTGCTGGCACAGCCCCTGGGGCACAGGGCAGGCAGGAGAGGCTGGGCAGTGGGTCAGCATGTCTTAGAGGGGCCGTGTCCCTAGGGGCTGGCACTCATGGGGTGACCCCAGGACAGGAACAGGGTGCTCCTTGCCACCATGTTCCTCTGCTCAAGCCCAGTGCTCCTGCCTTCTGAGCAGCCCCTCTGCTTTGGCCGAGGTTCTCTTGGCTGCTGGGGGTACAACCCAAAAGTCCTGGACCTTTGCACGCCCTTCCCTGAGGCTGCTGGTGGCTGGGGGAGCTGCTCTAGATTCCCCTGGCATGGGGACCAGCCTGCCAGACAGGGCCTGGGTGAATGGAGGAGAAAGATGGGAACCAGGCAGCACAATGGGGAATGGTGGGGGCTTTCCTCTCCCAGCGCCAGGCACCTCCCCTGTTGGCTGCTCCAGCTTCAGGGCCAGACTCAGTGTGCTCCCACTGGGCTTTCTCCAGGGACAAGGGACACCAGCAGTGACAGACCCAGCTCAGAGTGCAACTTGACACACAGAGCCATGTTCTGGTGTGCACTTGTTGCTTCCTGAGGTCACAGCCAGGTCCCTTAGGAGTGTCCTCATCCCAGAGGTAGGGAACAAGTTCAGTCCTTACCTGAACATATCACTCCAGCGTCCTCAGTGTGATCGCAGTCTGTTTGATCCCAGCCATTGTGTGTGCAGTCAGACAGAGCAGACTCCTTGCCATTACATTCAACATCATCCATCCAAATGGAACCAGATCCTGGCCCAAATTGTGCACTCCGAGGAGCTTCGAGAGCAACCCCACAGCCCAGCTGCCTACAAACCACTGCAGCATCGGTCATGTCCCAGTGGTCACCCAGTGCACACGGTCCCCCACTGACCCCGGTGTTTCACTTCCGCTCTCCCAGCACAGCGACTGCCGCCATCCACCAGCCTCACCTCTGCAGTCCCTTCAAACACCAACACAGGAAGGGTCAGGAGAGCTTTGAGCCCCACAAGGTGGGTCTGTGAGTGCTCCTTCTGCTGCCCAGGCAGACTCACAGGCCCAAGGGTGGGAGCCCTGTCCCCACAGATTGTCACTGGAGTGTTGGAGGGATCCTTCCTCTGTCCATGGGCTGCACTGCTCTGGGGATGCCCAACTCCAGCCCTTCTGGGCCATTTACTGCCCACAGCCCTCATAACCCCCTCTTCCCACCCCAGTGGCCCCCTGACCCTACGCATGCCCACCCACACACCACCCCCAGTCCTGCACAGGTTTCCCACTCCTCCCCTGACCAGATCCCTCTCCAAAGCACCGTGACTCTAAGCCCATATTCTTCCTGTCCATCACCTGCACCAGGCACCTCTCAAATGCACCAAATTCCCAGGAGCTGATTGCAGCCTGGACTTTGACTGCTGCTGGTGAACACGGGCGGCTCTGTGAGCTGAAGTCACCTTTGTGCCACCAGCAGCAACAGGGTCTAATGCAGGAAGTCAAAGCCCCTCTGGGTTCCTTCTCTGCATTTCACCATGCCCAGTGAGGAAGTGGACCTGGTGCCTTGATGGCTCAGATTTACCATTGCAGGTGATGTGGGTCTCTTCTCGGCGGTCAGTACATGACTGCGGATGCCAGGGATCAGAGGGACACTGCCAGAAGGAGCTGTTGCTCTTCCCACACTCCACGTGATCCAGCCACGTGATGCCAGACAGCTTGGCAGAGTTTAAGATAATTTCCCAGTCCTCTTCATTCCCGCAGCCCAGCTCCTTGCACACCAGTGACACCGTCTCGGTGGTCATGGAGTTGGAGCAAACGCTGCCCCACGTCCCGTTGTAGAAAACCTGCAGGCGCCCGGAGCAGCCGTCGCTGTTCTCCAGCCTCAGGGCCATGAACTCTGGAAGGAGGAAAGGCCCCAGGGAAGTCCTTGGATGTCAGTCACTGATGGCCTTGGCTCTAACTGGATCTACCCTCACCACAGCCTCACTGTCCCTGACTCCCAGACCCGCTCCCGGCACAGACCTGAGCAGACGACTCCCACGTCCTCCTTGTGCCCGCAGTCGTGCTGCCCCCAGGCCTCGGCAGGGCAGTCCCAGAGAGCAGCTTCAGCCCCGGAGCAGTTGACGCCATCCAGCCAGATCTGCCCGGAGCCCTCCCCAAACCGAGCAGAGCCGGCTGCCTCCAGGGCCCCTCCGCAGCCCAGCTGGTGGCAAACGACGGCGGCGTCAGCCAGGTCCCAGGCGTCGTCGCAGACGGTGCCCCAGCGCCCCTGGTAGTAGATCTCCACTCTCCCGGCACAGCGCCCAGCCCCGTCCACCAGCCGCACCCGCCGGCTCCCTGCAGCGGGGAGAACCCCGGCTGTCAGGGGCTGGCTGCACTCCCAGACCATCACTTGGGGGACGTGCAGCACCACTCACCCTGGCACACGACCCCCACGTCCTCCATGATCTCTGCTGCCGACATGCTCTGAGGCAGGGAGGTGTTGCAGAGGCTCAGGTCAGCCTCGTGCCCTGCACACTGCACCCCATGCAGCCCCACAGGTCCTCGTCCTCGCTTGGCCCTCACGGGGGTGTAGGCTGCCTCTGCCTCTCCGCACTGCAGCTGCCGGCACACCACGCTGGCCTCCTGCATGTCCCACTGCTCATCCAGGACTCTGCCCCACGTCCCGTGCTGGAAGACCTCCACGAGCCCATCGCACCGGCTCCCTCCGCCCACCAACCGCAGGGGCATGGGGTGAGTTAGGCCTGGTGAGAGGAAAAATTCAGCCAGGCTGTGCCATGAGCTCCCCCAATTTGTGTGGCCATGTCACACACCAGTAGCAAGTGGACATTGCAGCAATGCCCAGCACTCACCTGAGCAAATGACAGCAGCAGCGTTCTCCTGGGAGCACGGCGAGGCCCCCAGGGCAGTCACCGGGCACTGCCCCAGGTGGGCTTCAGTCCCGTCACAGTGGAACGAGTCTCTCCAGACGGGGCCGGTTCCTCTCCCAAAATGCCCTCCTCCAGGAATGGACTCAGCAAAGCCACAGCCGAGGTGCCGACACAGAACGTGGGCATCCGAGATGTCCCAGCGGGAGGCACAGAGCGTCCCCCACGTTCCCAGCACCTCCACCTCCACCCTGCCCTCACACGCTGTGCTGCCATTCACCAGCCTGAACCCTGTGTACTCTGGGGACAAAGGAGGGTGAGAGAGGCCACATTTGTGCTCTTGCTCCCACAGGAGCTGCAGGAGAGGCCAAAGGGACAGCATGCCTTTCTCCTCCTGCAGCACTCTCATTTTAGGGCCGCAGACCACCACCTCACCCCACCTGTCCCCCACACAGCACAGCCCAGTGCCACCCTGCTCTCCTGCCCCCACCAGAACCCCATTGTCCATCATCCTACTGCGAGTCCTTACGTGTGCAGGTGACACGAGTGCCATTGCTGTGGGTGCAGGCCTTGTCCTTGGAGGTCCCCCAGGGGCAGAAGAGGATGGTGGATTCATTCCCCACACACTGCAGCTCTCTGTCCCAGACAGGACCGGCCCCTTCTCCCAGCTGAGCTGCCCCATGGACAGACAGGGCTGTGCCACACTGCAGCTCCCTGCACACCACCTCGGCAGCTTTGGCATCAAAGTGAGAGTGACAGACAGCTTTCCACTGGTCCCTGTCGTAGACCTCCAGACTTCCTGAGCAAGGGCTGTCCCCTCCGACCAGCCGCACAAATCCTGGAGCAACCAAGGAGACCTGTGAGTTCCCAGAGCCCTCTGGCACTTCTGTGCCCACCTCCCACCTCATCCGTAAAGTGGCAAGATTCAGAGCTCCACGGTCAGCCCAGAAGTTCTCAGTGGGTGCTGATGGCACAAAGACATACGGGCCCCCCTGCTGCTCCTCTGAATCCAGCCCAGTACCCATGGGCTGCCCTCTCTCCCAGCCCCCGGCTGCAGGCACCGCTCAGACTAATTGCTGCTGGTTGGAGCCCCTGGGCTGCCCAGCACCAGCCCCAGCACTGCTGCACCTGCAGCATGTGGGCCCAAGGAAATGGGCCCAGGCACTGGGGGCTGCTGCAGTTGTCTCTGCCCTGCCGGGCTCAGGCCAGGCTGAGGAACCCCTTGGAGCTTCCAAGAAAGTCCCCTGTTCCCAGGGGCTGCTGGAGCTCTTGGGGAGCTGCTGTTAGAATGGGGCACATCTGGGGAGCAGGTAAACGGGGGTCCACAGACAGGGACCAAGTGTGGTGCTGGGCATGGATGACCCCATCCACCAGCCACACATAGAGCAAAAGAGCAGGCAGAGAGCAACCCTGGGCTGACACAAGCTCCCGGTATGAGGGCAGGCACCGAGGAGAGCCAGGAGGTGCTGGCACAGCCTCTGGGGCGCAGGGTAGGCAGGAGAGGCTGGGCAGTGGGTCAGCACGGCCTGGAGGGGCCGTGTTCATGGGGGCTGGCACTCATGGGGTGACCCCAGGACATGAACAGAGTGCTCCTTGCCACCATGTTCCTCTGCACAAGCCCAGTGCTCCTGCCCTCTGAGCAGCCCCTCTGCTTTGGCCAAGGTTCTCTTGGCTGCTGGGGGTACAACCCAAATGTCCTGGGCCATTGCACGCCCTTCCCTGAGGCTGCTGGTGGCTGGGGGAGCTGCTCTAGATTCCCCTGGCATAGGGACCAGCCTGCCAGACAGGGCCTGGGTGAATGGGATGACAAAGATGGGAACCAGGCAACACAATGGGGAAAGGTGGGGGCTTTCCTCTCCCAGCGCCAGGCACCTCCCCAGTTGGCTGCTCCAGCTTCAGGGCCAGACTCAGTGTGCTCCCACTGGGCTTTCTCCAGGGACAAGGGACACCAGCAGTGACAGACCCAGCTCAGAGTGCAACTTGACACACAGAGCCATGTTCTGGTGTCCACTCGTTGCTTCCTGAGGTCACAGCCAGGTCCCTTAGGAGTGTCCTCATCCCAGAGGTAGGGAACAAGTTCAGTCCTTACCTGAGCATGTCACTCCAGCATCCAAGCTGTGATCGCAGTCTGTTTGACCCCAGCCATTGTGTGTGCAGTCAGACAGGGCAGACTCATTGCCATTACAGTGAACATCATCCATCCAAATGGAACCAGATCCTGGTCCAAAGTGTGCCTTCTGAGGAGCTTCGAGAGCAACCCCACAGCCCAGCTGCCTACAAACCACTGCAGCATCGGTCATTTCCCATTGGTCACTGCACACGGTCCCCCACTGACCCCGGTGTTTCACCTCCACTCTTCCAGCACAGCGCCTGCCGCCATCCGCCAGCCTCACCTCTGCAGTCCCTTCAAACACCAACACAGGAAGGGTCAGGAGAGCTTTGAGCCCCACAGTGTGGGTCTGCGAGTTCTTTCTCTGCTGCCCAGGCAGAGTCACAGGCCCCAGGGTGGGAGCCCTGTCCCCACTGATTGTCACTGGTGTGTTGGAGGGATCCTTCCTCTGTCCATGGGCTGCACTGCTCTGGGGATGCCCAACTCCAGCCCTCCTGGGCCATTTGCTGCCCACAGCCCTCATAACCCCCTCTTCCAACCCCATTGGCCCCCTGCCCCTGCCCATGCCCACCCACATACCACCCCCAGTCCTGCACAGGGTTCTCACTCCTCCCCTGACCAGATCCTTCTCCAAAGCAACGTGACTCTAAACCCCATACTTCTTCCTATCCATCACCTCCCCCAGGCACCTCTCAAAGGCACCGAAACCCCAGGAGCTGATGGCATCCTGGCCGTTGACTGCTGCTGGTGGATGTGGGTGGCTCTGGGAGCTTAAGTCACCTTTGTACCACCAGCAGCAACAGGGTCTAATGCAGGAAGTCAAAGCCCCTCTGGGTTCCTTCTCTGCATTTCACCATACCCAGTGAGGAAGTGGACCTGGTGCCTTGATGGCTCAGATTTACCATTGCAGGTGATGTGGGTCTCTTCTCGGAGGTCATCACATGACTGCAGATCCCAGGGATGAGAGGGACACTGCCAGAAGGAGCTGTTGCTCTTCCCACACTCCACGTGATCCAGCCACGTGATGCCAGACAGCTTGGCAGAGTTAGAATCTGTTTCCAGTTCCCCTTCATTCCCGCAGCCCAGCTCCTTGCACACCAGTGACACCGTCTCGGTGGTCATGGAGTTGGAGCAAACGCTGCCCCACGTCCCGTTGTAGAAAACCTGCAGGCGCCCGGAGCAGCCGTCGCTGTTCTCCAGCCTCAGGGCCATGAACTCTGGAAGGAGGAAAGGCCCCAGGGACGTCCTTGGATGTCAGCCACTGAGGGCCTTGGCTCTACGTCTCTCTACCCTCACCCCGGCCTCACTGTCCACGTCTCCCAGTCCTGCTCCCAGCACAGACCTGAGCAGATGACTCCCGCGTCCTCCTTGTGCCCGCAGCTGTGCTGCCCCCAGGCCTCGGCAGGGCAGTCCCAGAGAGCAGCTTCAGCCCCAGAGCAGTTGACGCCATCCAGCCAGATCTGCCCGGAGCCCTCCCCAAACCGAGCAGAGCCGGCTGCCTCCAGGGCCCCTCCGCAGCCCAGCTGGTGGCAAACGACGGCGGCGTCAGCCAGGTCCCAGGCGTCGTCGCAGACGGTGCCCCAGCGCCCCTGGTAGTAGATCTCCACTCTCCCGGCACAGCGCCCAGCCCCGTCCACCAGCCGCACCCGCCGGCTCCCTGCAGCGGGGAGAACCCCGGCTGTCAGGGGCTGGCTGCACTCCCAGACCCACACTTGGGGGACGTGCAGCACCACTCACCCCGGCACACGACCCCCACGTCCTCCATGATCCCTGCTGCTGGTGTGCTCTCAGGTAGGGAGGTGTTGCAGAGGCTCAGGTTAGCCTCGTGCCCTGCACACCGCACCCCACGCAGACCCACGGGGCCCAGACCTCGCTTGGCCCTCACGGGGGTGTAGGCTGTCTCTGCCTCTCCGCACTGGAGCTGCCAGCACACCACGCTGGCCTCCTGCATGTCCCACTGCTCATCCAGGACTCTGCCCCACGTCCCGTGCTGGAAGACCTCCACGAGCCCGTCGCACCGGCTCCCTCCACCCACCAACCGTACAGACATGTGGTGAGCCGGGCCTGGTGAGAGGAGAAATTCAGCAAGGCACTGCCATGGGGTCCAAAGCTGTGGATGGCCTTGTCACACTCCAGGGCCAAATGGACTTTGCAGCAATGCCCAGCACTCACCTGAGCAAATGACAGCAGCAGCGTTCTCCTGGGAGCACGGCGAGGCCCCCAGGGCAGTCACCGGGCACTGCCCCAGGTGGGCTTCAGTCCCGTCACAGTGGAACGAGTCTCTCCAGACGGGGCCGGTTCCTCTCCCAAAATGCCCTCCTCCAGGAATGGACTCAGCAAAGCCACAGCCGAGGTGCCGACACAGAACGTGGGCATCCGAGAGGTCCCAGCGGGAGGCACAGAGGGTTCCCCATGTCCCCAGCACCTCCACCTCCACCCTGCCTTCACATGCTGTGCTGCCATTCACCAGCCTGAACCCTGTGTACTCTGGGGACAAAGGAGGGTGAGAGAGGCCACATTTGTGCTCTTGCTCCCACAGGAGCTGCAGGAGAGGCCAAAGGGACAGCGCGCCTTTCTCCTCCTGCAGCACTCTCATTTTAGGACCGCAGACCACCACCTCACCCCACCTGTCCCCCAGCCAGCACAGCCCAGTGCCCACCCTGCTCTCCTGCCCCCACCACAACCCCCATCAGCATTATTACATCTCGAGTCCTTACGTGTGCAGATGACATAAGGGTCATTGCTGTGGGTGCAGGCCTCATGCCCAGGGGCTCCCCAGGGGCAGAAGAGGATGGTGGATTCATTCCCCACACACTGCAGCTCTCTGTCCCAGAAAGGACCGGCCCCTTCTCCCAGCTGAGCTGCCCCATGGACAGACAGGGCTGTGCCACACTGCAGCTCCCTGCAGACCACCTCGGCAGCTTTGGCACCAAAGTGAGAGTGACAGCTTTCCACTGGTCCCTGTCGTAGACCTCCAGACTTCCTGAGCAGGGGCTGTCCCCTCCGACCAGCCGCACAAATCCTAGAGCAACCAAGGAGACCTGTGAGTTCCCAGATCAGGCAAAGAGCAGACCTGGGCTGACACGAGCTCCCGGTGTGAGGGCAGGCACCGAGGAGAGCCAGAAGGTGCTGGCACAGCCCCCTCTGGGGCACAGGGCAGGCAGGAGAGGCTGGGCAGTGGGTCAGCACGGCCTGGAGGGCCGTGTCCCTAGGGGCTGGCACTCATGGGGTGACCCCAGGACATGAACAGGGTGCTCCTTGCCACCATGTTCCTCTGCACAACCTCAGTGCTCCTGCCCTCTGAGCAGCCCCTCTGCTTTGGCCGAGGTTCTCTTGGCTGCTGGGGGTACAACCCAAAAGTCCTGGGCCATTGCACGCCCTTCCCTGAGGCTGCTGGTGGCTGGGGGAGCTGCTCTAGATTCCCCTGGCATAGGGACCAGCCTGCCAGACAGGGCCTGGGTGAATGGGATGACAAAGATGGGAACCAGGCAACACAATGGGGAAGGGTGGGAGCTTTCCTCTCCCAGCACCAGGCACCTCCCCAGGCTTGGCTGCTCCAGCTTCAAGGTCATGCTTGTTGTTGGCATCTGGGCTGTACTTTTCCCAGGGACATGTGACAGACTGAGCTCAGAGCCCTGACCCATGAGCTGTTACCCTTTTCCCTTGTCCCAGTCTCAAAAAGTGTGTAATAGGTTTAACCCATACCTGAACATATCACTCCAGCATCCAGATTGTGAGAACAGTAGGATTCACCACGTCCTGCATGATTGCAGTCAGACAGGGCAGACTCCTTGCCATTACACGCAACAGCAACCATCCAAATGGGCCCAGATCCTGGCCCAAAGTGTGCTTTGTGAAGAGCTTCAAGAGCAACCCCACAGCCCAGCTGCCTACAAACCACTGCAGCATCGGACATGTCCCAGTAGAAATGGCACACGGTCCCCCACTCGTCATGGAGTTTCATCTCCACTCTCCCAGCACAGCGCCCGTCACCATCTGCTAGCCTCACCTCCGCAGCCCCTTCAAACACCAACAAAGGAAGGGTCAGGAGAGCTTTGAGCCCCATACTCACAGACCCCCTCCCCAGGCATAATCACAGTCCCCAGGGTGGGATCTCTGTCCCCATATGCTCTCCCAGGGGCAATGGGGGGTCCCTGTTTTTCCCATGGGCTATGCTGGGCTGGGGGTACCCAGCTCTAGCCCTCCTGGGCCATTTGCTGCCCCACGGCCCTCACCACCTCCTCCCACCCCAGTGGACCCCTGTCCCCGCCCATACCCATCCCTACACAGCCCCCAGCCCTGCATGGCGCTCCCACTCCTCCCCAGCGCAGTGTCCCCCAAACAGCCCCATGCCCCTGAGCAGCTTCCATTGCCTATTGTCTGCCACAGGCACCTCCTAAAACCACTGTCCAACCCAGGAACTCTAGGGTGCCCACAGGGCACTGAATGATCACAAGGATCCCAAAAACCCTTCCTCGTCCCTGCTGTCAGATCAGTCCCTCTGCTTGGACAGGGCCCCAGGAAGGACACTTCTGTACCACTTCTGGGTGCAGATGCCCCAGTCCCCTTCTGTTAATGGGACACAACCTGTCTTCCTGGAGTAAGTGTTTCCCCAGATCCCAAGGGCAGGGAACAGCACACAACACCCCTGGGGCATCCCAGACATTGGCTGTGCCCTGGAGCTCACTGAGGGTCACTCTCTCTGTCTGGGACTCCTCCAGATCCAGAGGCACAGTGATGGGGAACAAGGGCTACCAAAAGGGTCCCCAAGGGCAAGGAGTCTAGAAATGATGTCAGGCATGGGCTGCCATAATCATGGGAGCTGTGGAAAAGGATTACCCTCTCCCACAAAGACAGGCACAGGTTAAAGCAGAGGGCTGAGAGACCGAGAGTCTTCTGCCTCTCATTTCAGTGGTGTCTGCAAAGCAACCCCACTCCCAGAGAGATCCCAATGACCCCACTGCTGCCCACTGTCCCAAGGCTGTGGAACAGAGAAGCTGGCACTTACCTCTGCAAGGCTGCACCCAGAGGAACAGCCACAGCACCCAAGGGGACAGGAGTCCCTCTGTCCCCATCCTGAGGCTCCTGTCCTGACAGCACGGCCCTGCTGCTGGAGCTCCTGGGGACCCACGGGGCAATGACGATGATGGGAGGGCAATATATCTGTGCAGATGCTGTCCCAGCTGCAGGAGGAGCCAATCGAAGCAGCAGGCACCTTTTTAGACGTTATCGGCAATTATCTCCCCTCCGACGCAGCCCAGCTCTCCAATGAACTTCTCCAGTGCTCTTCATGACCATATATGAGGGACGGCTGCGCTGCGGCTCTCACGTCACTGCGGTGGGACATCATCGTGGGGTAGGGCTGGGTGTGGGGGCAGATGGCTCTGACACCCCTTGCAGCCTGCTGTGGGAGCACGGAGCATCTCCTGAGCTGTAGCATCCAAGAGCCCAAGGTGCGATTGTCCGGCTGTCCTTGCGCCATGGGATCCAGGAGACTGGTCCTGCAGCGGGGCTGTGTCAGGCTGGGAAGGGACCAGCCCCTGCCCCTGCTACAGCCCCTGCTGTGCTGGCAGCAGCAGCTGGGAAAGGCCCTTGGGCAGGGCCAGAGCCCCATGATGGGGGTGCTGGCTGTCCCGTCCCTCCCCAGGGAGCCTCCTGTGGGGTCCCGGCAGCAGCCAGAGCTGGTCCATTGCCTGCCCTGGCAGCAGAGCTGCAGCCCAGAGCCTCAGGCGTCTCCCTGGCTCTCAGCGTGTTACCCAGGGGCCGTTATTCCCCGCGGCGGGTCGGGAGATGGAGTCTGCCTGCCACTGCAGGTGCACAAACCGCAGCCCACGTGACATGGCGCCCGGGCAGGAAGACGGTGGTTTCCTCCTGGCCCCATGCCCAGGCATGGCCCTGCGGTGCCTCCCAGCCTCCTCACAGCTCCAAGCCTGGCAGAGTCCAAGAAGTGTTGGACAATGCTCTCAGACATATAGTTTATTATATATATATATATATGTATATATATATATATATATAAATACACACATATATATATACATTTTATATTTTTAATAGAACACACATTTTTATGAATATATACAATATATATATATTACTTATACATTATTATATTATATTTTTATATATTTCATTAGATTAAATATTATTCTTATATATTGAATGTATTATTATATAGTTCATATTATATAATATATAATTACTGATATTATATTATAGATTATATTTTTATTTGATATATATTTATATTACATAAAGTATTCCAGTATATTATACAGTATCATGTTATATTATGCAGTATATTATATTAATTATATATTTTATTTTATATTATTTTATTTTATTTTATTTTATTTTATTTTATTTTATTTTATTTTATTTTATTTTATTATATTTTTCATTACATTAATTTTACATGTATTATACATACATAAAAGTTTATTTTTCATAAATATATACATTATATATTTTAATATTTTTAATATATATTTACCGTTTGTATAATTTTTTAGATACATATATATTCTATTTTGTTGTCTGGTGGCTGGAGTTGGACTCACTGATCCTTGATTCTTTCCAACTCAGGCTATTTCATGATTCTGCCCAACACAGCTCCAGGTGATGCTATAGCATATTCACCTGCCATGGGCCTTCTCCTGGCCTGCACCTGCTCCTGCCCTGTCGGTTACTCAGCCAAGAGTGGCATCACAAGTACATTCCCCAGGCATGGGTCTCCTTCCTGCCTGTCATCTTCTCAGGCACCGGTGACGTCACAAGCTCTTGTCGCGTTAAAGGGGTGTAGCTGATTAACCGTCACGGGCCCGTTTGAATTCAGAGTACTGAACCAGTCGGACATTCACCAAAACTGGGGGTCCGTTCGGACATTCACCAAAAACGTAATAACCGCCTGGGGGTCCACTCAGACATTCACCAAAAACGTATTAACCACCTGGGGGTCCGTTCAGACATTCACCAACAATGCATTAACCGTCTGGGGGTCTGGTTAGATTCAGAACACTGAATTATCACGGATAATCACCCTCACCCAAGTCGCATTAATGAAAGCTATCACAATGCAATCAAGTATGGTTTATTACAGCCACAGATAATCAGGTTCTTTTGGATTGCCGGCGATAGTGACTGTCTGCAAAAGCAAGCTAATATGCATGAAATACACAGGCGTTATAGGTGTTATAGATGTTACAGATGTTATAGATGTTATAGATGTTATAGGTGTTATAGGTGTTACAGATGTTATAGATGTTATAGATGGTATAGATGTTACAGGTGTTACAGGTGTTATAGGTGT